AGATAACTGACCAATGGGGAGTGGTGGGGTGGGGAGGGCAGGGGCTGCAGGCCCAGCTCGGGAATTGCCTGGAGTCTGGGAAATTTCTGTAGCCAGGAAAATAAGCGCACAAAATCAGCACCTGTTTATTTGGCTTCTGCCGCTGAAGCCTGGTTAGAGCGGCCCGGCTCTCCCAGGCAGGCAGTGCGGCTGAGTGCGCTAGCCATGGCCCTTTAAGTTGCCAAGCTCTGATTTGTGGTCCTGAAAATCTCTAGCTGACACATCCTCCTGGCTCTGGGTTTGGGATTAGCTCATGGGATGGGGCTGATGAAATCCCAGGAAATCCACTCCTTATTGGCTTTAGGCCCGAGGCCCTTTCCAAACAGCGCAGAGGGTCGTACACAGGCTCTTGTGTTTTGAGGCGAACATGCCCTTCTGGAGGGCCCTCACCCCACATCTGTCACTGGGGAGCAGTGCAAGAGGAGACTGGGCCTGAGTGAGGTAGGAAAGGGGGAGGAGCCTGGAGCTTTCCTCCCACATAGAGGGGCCTGGCAACAGTAGGTCACAAACATCTGTCCACATCCGTGAGGTAGGGGTGGGCTGAGGGGTCTCCGTCTGCAGGCCATCCTCAGCCCTCCTTTCTCCCCTCCCGGCCAAGGCACCTGCCTCGGCCGTCTCCCTGGAACATCTTGTTTCTCTTTCCCAGCTCCGTCTCCACCTCCTCACCTCTTCTTTTTCCCTCTGCAGCTGTGGCCGACTGGAAGGGGGCTCAGGAACCTGGGCAGGCTCCCCACTGCAGCGCACCCTCAGCTTCCTCCTGGGCATGACCGGAAAGGCCAAGGTAGGAGCCGGTGGGGAAGCAGGAGGCCTGGGCCCCCCTGCCCTCCCTGCTTCCATTCCTCCTCACCCCCATCCGCTCCCCTCCGCAGCTTCCCAGGGAGACAGACACTCAGGGCAGTGGTTCACATGCTAGCTCTTCCAGACTCCCTCCTTGTGTCCCGCGGCGTCAGCTTTCCTCTGCTTTCCCCATACCTCCAGCTCAGCAGCCAGCTTCAGCTGCAGACAGCTGGACCAGAGGAAGGGCAGGAGCTTCAGAAGCCGAAGGGTGGCCCAGCCCTCCCTCCCTTTAGGCCCCCCGTAGCTACAGAGGTGGGCAGCAGAGATCTTAACCGTTGGATATAATCACGATCATAATTATAGCAATACTTTGTACTTCTCCGGAGAGTATTAGGGTTTGCAAAGTGCTTTTACACTTACAGCTGTATGCGTGGAAGTGGCAGTTGAAAGAGTTGAAATTAGACCACAGGCAGAGGGGAAGCCTGGAAAGTGTACGGTTATGGAAGCACACGCACACCCATGTGTGTGGGGCTGTGCAGGGTTCTGACCCCAGGAAGGTGAAGGTATTCTGCCCTCTCCCTTATTACCAACCCCGGGCTCTGTGAAACCAGGGTCTTTGCCCGCTGCTTGAATGCATTGCCACTTTCTTCATTTACTGGCAGAATGAGCCACCCCCTTTTCCTCTCAAGGCCTCCCCAAGTATGCAAGTACTTTCCAACCTGGGGCGGCTTCTGAGCATTGAAAGAAGCCCCAGAGGAAACATCCTCCTATTCTGCTCCAAGAGCCATGGGATTCTATCCCCAGGAAGGTTGCTGGGCTCCCCCCGCTCCCCTCCTCCCACAGTGCCAGGCTCGCCCCTCTGCCAGCCTCGGAGCCAGGACCCCTGTATCTCTCGTGCACTGGGAAGGCAGAGATGAAACCCGGTTGGTAGCACCTGCTCACCACAGGCTACACTGGGGAGTTTGAGGCCTGGGACCACACAGTCTGAGAAGAGGAGGAGCAGCTAGAGAATCTTAAAGCTGGGGGTGGGGGAAGGGCGGGGGGGGTGGACAGGAGGGAGCCCAGCTCTCCAGGGAACCAGGCAAACGGGGAGCCCTGGGGTCTGAGGCCAACGTCCTGGGAGCTGGGCCAGCTCGGTGAAGTGTGCTGCGGGAGCCGCCCTCCCTGCCTGCAGTGGGAGTTGGCAGGGGAAGTGAGCACCGCCCAGGGGCCATCCCCATCCCCAGGGGTCTGCATTTGCCCACCCGTGGCCCAAGTTTGGTGAAGGGTAAAATCGCCGGGTGAAGGGGGCTGTGGGCAGCATGGGGCCCGACAGGCAGCAGGAAAGAGCCGGAGTGAGTCAGGACCTTGCTGCACTGGCCCTTCCCCGCCTGGGCCTCTGGTCCAGGCCTCTCCCCCCTCACGAGTGTGTGTGCCTGCCCCACTAAGCCCCCTCCACCCCTCCTCCCTGCGCAGGACGGCTCCTAAGCAGGTAAGCACCAGGGCGTGCGGCTGGACAGAAGTCCAGCAGTGAGAGAGGAAGTGGCTTATTCCTTCCTATTTGACTAGAGTCAGCGCGCTGGACAAAACACTTCTCCAGCGGTCATCTCCTTTTATCCTTATAACACTCTGGCAAAGATAAGTATTTCGATTTCCATTTTGCAGACAAGATTACTTCGCGGTCCCCCAGCTGTTCAGAGGCGGGGCTGTGTTGCAGACCCAGAGCTTTGAGGTTCACACGCCTGTCAGTAAACCTCACCTAACCCGCTTTCCCCTCCCTTCGCTTCTTGCACCATCTTGGGAGGGACGGCCCTTGGAGTCAGTCATGCTTCAGTCTTTCCTGTCCTGGAATATACAAGGTCCAGAGCCATGAAAAGAACACACACGCTCGTGGGCACCACAGCTCTTGGGCCTGGCTACGTCTGGCACTCTAACTGTCCATCTACTGGCCAACACTCCGACACCAGGTTCCTGCCTGGGATGGCCTCTGACCCAGGAGGTGCGCGGAACACATTTGTCAAGTTAAATGAGCTATTTTATTTTATTTTTAAATAAATAAAGGGGGACAGAGGGGGAGAGAGAGGGAGAGGGCATCTTGAGCAGACTCCGCCCTGAGTGTGGAGCCCAAAGCAAGACTCCGGGCAGGGCTTGATCCCACTGTGAGGTCATGACCCCAGCTGAAACCGAGAATCAGAGGCTTCACGGACTAAGCCACCCAGGTGCCCCTTAAGATTTTATTCGTAAGTAATCTCTACACCCAGTGTGGGTCTTGAACTCACAGCCCCAAGATCAAGAGTCGCCTGCTCTGGTGGTGGCTACTTTTAGATTCTGGCAGAAATTAGGGTTGCCTTTTCTTTAGGGGTATCTAAAAAAATAATTTCTGAAAATCTGGGAAGTATCACTGGATAGGAGTGGGGTGGGGATGGACGGATTGGAATGCAAGTGGTGTGCTTTTGGAAGCGTTCCTGGGGATACAGAAGATGAATATTAAGTCAGGCAGCAGGCCCAGCTCAGGAAAAGTCCAGGTGTTTCTCAAGGTGGACGGGTTTCCTGTACCCTCCCCCAAACCCCTGCCTGGCCACTCATCTAATGGGAAGAGGTGGACATAGGTCGAGGGGTAGGCTGGGATACAAAGCCCACTGGAGATGGGGGAGGAGGCAGAAAAAGGCTGGAACCTTAGGTCTGCTTTTTTCTGAGTCTGGGGCCTGAGAGCTCTCAGACCGTGGGATTCCGGTCCTGGCCTCGCGGTCCGCCCACTGGGTGCCCAGACTGCAGTGTGGCCTTTTAAGATTCCATCCTTAGCCTGTGGCACTCTCCCACCCCAGGCCTGGGAGAAAAGCTGAGGTCTGGGCCCATCCCTGGTCTCCGGGCCCCTAGTGGGCGGAGCCGGGAGGCCGGGACTCTGGCTTCTGGTTGTCTGTTTTTAAATTTAGTACATTCCTCAGCCCTGCCTGCTGACTGCGGGGAGGCTAAGTCTGGGGTTCCGGGCCAGGATTGCTGGCTGGGGGAGTTCCTAGGGCCTTCCCGTAAGGTCTCCCCTGCAGGTGCAAGCCTGCAGGAACCAGCCTCCCTCCTGGCCCTGGGAAAGTCCTTTTCTGTTTCTAATGTCCATCCAGCCTAGAATGGGTCGGTCCCCTCTCCTTGTTTCTGGTCTTTGCTCCGCATGGATCCTAAACAGTGGAACGGGTGACGAAGAAGGTGATGAGTTGTGAGGCAGGAGGGAGGCTAGAGGAGCAGTGTGGGGGTGGTGCCGGGGGGTGAGGAGCCCAGCCACTCAGCCAGTGGTGAGGCATGGAGCCCAGAACAGTGGCAGAGGCTAAAATTGGCACCTACAGGAGTGCTGAGTTGGGTTGGGAACCTGCTGCTGCAGCCGGGGCGGGAGCCGCTGGCTCTGGGCTGGGCCTCCTCGCCCTCCTTCCGACACACCTGCGGGGGCCGGAAGCGGGCAGGACCGCGCGCACGCAGGATGCTCTGTCCCGAGGCTCTCCAGAGAGATGGGAGAGCCTGAGAGGCAGAAATGAACTGTAATGTGAATGGTTCTAGTGTGTGGGGGGGAGTTTCCGAGCATCAGAAAACTCCGCAAAGGTGGAGGCTGGCTCAGGCTGCGGCAAAGGGTCCCGAAAGAATGCCCCACTCCACCCCGCCTCTTGGGGAGAGACTGGCCAGACCACAACTGCCCCCGGACCGGGGCGGGCCGGTGTCTAGTCTCTTGGCTCCGGCGTGAGTAGCAACGGAGCGAAGCGGGGCTAGACACAAGGAAGGACTTCCCGGGCCTCGCGGCCCCCGGAGAAGGGGGGGCGGGGCTCGGGGGCGGGGTTCGGGGGGCGGGGCCGGGAGCGGCCGCGGAGCGGAGCGCGGGGGGGGGGCTGGTGGGAGAGCTCTCGGGCGCGCACCCTCGCCTCCACGCCCGGTAAAGACCAGCCTTTCGCTTCCCCTGGTTTTCCCCGCCCTCCCCCCCTGCCCTGCCCCCAGCGGCGAGCGGGGCCTGGCGGCGCGGGCAGAGCGGGCGGCGGGGCTCCCTGCAGAGCGCGCGGGGCGGGGGCCGCGGGGCTCCCGGGCCGAGGTCGGCGCGG